GCGGATCTCATATCCCGGGCAGTTGCAATGCTGGCGTCAGCGCTGCGGCTTCCCTCCCGGGGCACCCAGGCGGGGCCCGACCGTGCCGTGCGGGGGGAGCAGGCTGCTGGGAATGCGGCGGGGGGCTGCCACGGGGGCGGCCTGGGGGCACGGTGAGGGGCTCCGGCAGAACTGGGGTCCAGGGATGGGATGGCCACAGCGGGGGGCAGGAGTGGAGCAGGGGGCAGCATGCATGGGAGTGTTGTTGCCCCAGCTCTGCTGGCGGCATCCCAGTTTGGCCCCAGTTCCTGTGCCGTGTCTCCTGGCCTCGGGCATCCCTGTGCCTCCAGCTGCGTGTGCTCACTCACGAAGAAGCATTTCCAGTTTTGGAGGCTGCTTTCCTTTATACCACAGCTTTCCCCTGCTAATTTGTTCTCTGGCCTGGGGTATCTGGAGATCACCCTCAAAGGTAACCCCTGGACTGGCATCTCCACCAAGCCCAAGGTGGGCAGCACTCCAGTGTCTTCCCATCCCTGTCCCCATCCCCATCATGGCCCAGTGATGACTGTTCTCAGGGGTGTCTCTATGCTGGGGTGCTTGGTCCTGCATGGTGTGCCCATGCTCAGGGCCTGCCTGCCAGATACATGTCCCAGTAGGAATGTTGGAGCCGGGCTGGGTGTCCCCGTGGGGATGTGGGAGCAGGGCTGGGTGCCCCGGGCGTGCAGGAGCAGGACCCGCTGGTGCCGTACGTGCCGCAGCTCGTTTCCCTTGCATGAAAGCATTTGGCTGGAAGCTTAGCGTGGCCTCTTGTCTCCTCGGAGCAATCAGGATTTGTCGCTGCTTGCAATGTTTAATGTCGTCTTCCAGAGGCTAAATACCGTGGGGAGCTGTGTAAGCCGCCGAAATACCTGCGTGAGCTGGGATCAGCCGGAGGCTGGCACAATGGGCTGGCAGCGGCGGGGATGGGGGACTGCGAGTGTGTGGGACTGGTCCTCGTGCCCCTGGTGCTCACGGGTGGATTGGGGTGAGCTGGGGTGAGGATGCTGAAGGCCAGCACCCAGTTCTCATGGGGTGCCCCGCATCAGGAGGGCAGGATGGTAAGCTCTGGGGGGGAGTGGAGGGGACCTGAGGGGCCCCAGGGCTGTGTGGGGTAGGGAGGAGGATGCCAGGACCCTGTTGATCTCTGGCTGGGATCCTCCTGCCAAGGCACAAGCAGCTATTTCTGTCAAGGTCAGCGTGTCTCCACGGCAGAGAGCAGGGAAATGAGGAATCATGTCGAGAAATTACCTCCCTAATGGGGTCTCCCCTGCACGTGACCGTGGCGCGGGGATGCCGGCATGTGATGGCTGAGCGAGGAGACTGGCACACGGTGAGGGAATCCTGCTGCCCCAGCCCCGAGGCTGCAGCACCCATGGGTGCCCAGCGAGGAGAGCAGGGTGCCCGGGGGCCCATGCCCCGGGCGCCATCCCCAGCTAGACATGTGCGCTTCAGCCCTGCAAGGCGCTTTTCTGGGTCAGCTGCAGGGAAGAAATCATGTTGCCAGTGTAGACAGTCTCTCCTCTGCCCTTCCTCCTCCTCCTCCTCATGTACTCCCTGTTATCTAATTGGGTTTGTCATGCTGGAAAGGCAAAGCCCTTCAGGACTGCGCTGTGCTCTCGCCAGCGCGATTTCACAGCTGGCCTCGGCACCGCGGCAGCCGACAAGTGAGTAACTCAGCTGGGTGCCACGGGCACCCCTGCCCTCCCCATGTGTCCCTGCAGCCGTGCCCACCTGCCTGGGGCTTCAGGGGACAGAGGACAAGGCCACTGCCACCGCTGGACCTTCTCCTCCAGCCCTGCCCACCACTGGTCCCTGTCCCCGAGCTGTCTGTCCCCACCTGCCCCAGCCTCTGCATCCCGGCCCTATCCCTCACCCCGCTCCAGGGTGATTGCGATGCCGCCCGGAGATGTCTGAACTGACATGAGATGGAAGCGTTCAGAGAAATGACATTTCCTCCAGCCTGGGAAGCTCATCCTCCATTTAAAGAAAACTAATATAAAAGCTGCTCTGGTGTGCAAAGGGCTGATGGTATCAGGCTGGCAGCCTCCGGCTCTTGGAGCCACAATAAATCTCAGCAAGGAGCCGAGCCACCTCGAGCAGCCCCAAGCAGACACGCCGGCTTTTAGCAAGGGAGGCTGAGCCATGTCCCAGGGGTGGTGCAGGGACACGTGGGCTGGAGGGGACAGCTGAGTGTGGGATGGGGTGACCCACTGGGCTGGTCCCGAGGATGCAGAGAGCAGAGACCCCACGCCGTAGTGCTGTGGCGAGGATGGTGGCAGGACCGGTGACAGCTTCGGGGCGTGGGGGCATGAGGGTGGCGAGGGTTTTGTGTCCCCAGGGAGGTGAGCTCTGCCCCGGGGAAGCACTGCGGCCCCGCAGGAGCGTTTGCTCCCCCAGCAAAGCAAACAGCAGCGCAGACATCCCGGGGCGGGCGGGATGGGGACCGTCCATCCCCAGGACACACCGGGCTGGGCGAACGGGTGCTGGGGAGGGATGGAGAGAAGGAGGGAAGGATGGACAGAGGGAGTGAGCGAGGGAGGGAGGGAGGGAGGAATGGAGGGAGGGAGGGAAGGAGGGATGGAGGGAGGGTGCCCGGCGGGGCCGGTGCTGCGCGCCCTGCGCAGCCCAAACGTGGGGCCCTGCTGCCCCCTGCCTGCGGCTGCCGGGAGCTGGGGTGCCGAGGTGCCGGGGTGCCGGGGTATCGGAGCTTGGCCCTGGCCAGAGCCAGCAAGGGCCAGAACTGGCACTGGGTGCCTTTGAGCTGGGCTTCTCCTTGCTGCGGGGCCGAGTGTGCGATGGAGGTGGGGTGGGAGGACACTGGGCATGGGAGATGCTGCCCACTGCCTCCGCTCGCCTCTCTCGGTGCCCGTCCCATTCACATGCCCCATTCCTGACCTGTGTGGCATCCTCCTGAGCTTGTCACCAAGCTGCCAGCTTGGATTCTGGCCGGGTCCCCTGGATGGCTACAGAGTCACACCTTGCTCAGGCAGCAAGGCCATCAGCGTGGATGGTGCTGGGAGTCACCACCGAGGCAAACAGGAGCTCCCCTCTTTCCAGTCCCCCCTTTCACCACTGCTGTGGAGCAGCAGGCATGCTGCCCTTCATGGGGTGGGCACCGCAGCCCTGGTTTATCCCGAGGTTGTGGAGGCTGCGGGACCCCCCCGGGGCTAGCCTGTGCCTCGACAGGGCTGGTGCCGAAAGCGGGTCCCTGGGAGCGGCAGCAGCAAGAGATGAGAGGATGCCGGGGAGTGCAGTGCTGAGCTTTGAAGGCACCCTGACAGGCTGTCGGGGCCCTGCCAGCCACGCTGACAGCCTGGTGCAGAGACACCCCCCCCCTGCTGCCGCCGCCGCGCTCTGATCACAGCCTCACCGTCACTTCAAAGCGCCCGCCGGGCTCAGGTGGGTTCCCACGCAGCCTCCCACCCCATGGCTCTACTTCTCCTACCCCATGGCCCCACTTCTCCTGCCCCACAGGACCCAGATCCACCGGGGTCCCCAGCTCCAGGGTGGGGGATACCAGTGTATAGCACTGGGGACCACGGTGCACATGTCACCCCAAGCAGCACTGGCAGGAGGCGATGGCCACCCAGGCCTGGTACTGTCCTGCCTCTGTTGGGCAGCGCACCCAGCCCCAGAGGAGCCATGGCTGGGGACCCTGGGGGTCCAGGCAGGGGTCTGGGGGGGCTGCAGTGCCAGGGCAGGGGATAACAGGGACGAGCTGGGGCGCAACATCCCTGGGCACAGGGCTCACACCACCTGGCTGGGACAGGACATCACCGTCCAGACAGGGGTGCCCACCATGCTGGGGCACTGGACTCTGCCAGTTCACCCTGCCTGGGGTAACGCAAGACACCCCTCTGTCCCAGCCCAGCTCAGGGAGGAATTTTCCATTCCTGAATGGAGGTTGGGGGAAGGCGTGTGTTTGCAGCAGCCCCCTCCTCTCCCTCCCCTCGCCCGTCACCGGAGCAGCTCGGGAAGGCGCCTGCCACGTTCGTCTCCGGGAAGGTGCGGAGCAAAAGCCTCCCGGGAGGGAGAGCTCCCTGAAGGGGATCAGGGACTTCAGGCAGCCTCGGGGACAGCCTGCACCCCACTTTCCAGAGAAGCCACCCTGCCTGCAGCCATGCCGCTGCCCCTTGCCTGCTGCCGGGATGGGGAAGCCCTGGCAGCGGCTCGGGATGGCGGCACTGCCCAGCTCGCCGTCGGCGTCCTGCGAGCCACCAGGATCCCCGGGCTGCACTACATGTGCACCCGGCCACAGTCCCGCCTGCGCCGCCTGCTCTGGAGCCTGGCCTTCCTGGCCTCCGCCGGGCTGCTGGCCACCGGCACGGCCGACCGCCTGCACCATCTGCTCTCGCACCCCGTGCACACCCGGGCACGTCTCGCCTGGGCCCCCCAGCTCCACTTCCCGGCCGTCACCCTCTGCAACCCCAACCGGGCACGCTTCCTGCACCTCACCAAGCCCGACCTCTACTCAGTGGGCCAGTGGCTGGGGCTGGCCCAGGAGAACCGCTCGCTGGTGCCCGAGATGCTGGCCGTGCTGGGGGAGGACCGGCGCGCGTGGCTGACCCGTCTCGCCAACTACTCGCGCTTCTTGCCGCCCCGCCGCTCCGAGCGCACCATGCAGAGCTTCTTCCACCGCCTGGGCCACCAGATCGAGGACATGCTGGTGGAGTGCCGCTTTCAGGGAGAGCGCTGCGGCCCCCAGCACTTCACCCCCGTGAGTCCTCTCCTGGCAGGGGCAGGACAGCTGGGCTGCCCCATATGTGCTGGGAGAGATGCTTCACCCCCCCCAGCAAGAGTGGAGGGCTTGGCAGTGGAGGAGGGGTGGAGACTTAGATGAGCCCTTCCACGGGCCATGCAAGGTCTCCCCCTTCCAGGACCTCCATGGGATTGGAAAGGGGTCTCCCTGGATCTCATCCTGCTTGCAGAATGCCCTGCCAGATCCCCGCCTGCTCCCTCAACCCCCTTTTCTCCATCCCCAGGTCTACACACGCTACGGTAAGTGTTACACCTTCAACGGGGACCGGAGGAACCCACGGGTAACTCGCCAGGGCGGCATGGGCAACGGGCTGGAGATCATGCTGGACATCCAGCAGGAAGAGTACCTGCCCATCTGGAGAGAGACCAGTGAGTGGGGCTGCGGTGTGGGAAGGAGATGGGGAGAGGGGTGCTGGGAGGGAGGGCTGCTGGGCAAGTGGGTTCCCCCAGTGGGGACTATGGGGCAAGCGGGGTGCTGGAGGGGTGCTGGCCCCCAGGGTGCAAGTCCTGGGTGCGTACGGGGGCAAGGCTGAGGGTTGTCCCCATTGGGCAGGCGTGCAGTCCCTCTGTCCTTCTCCTGCAGACGAGACATCGTTCGAAGCTGGCATCCGGGTCCAGATCCACAGCCAGGACGAGCCACCCTATATCCATCAGCTTGGCTTCGGTGTCTCACCCGGCTTCCAGACCTTCGTGTCCTGCCAGGAGCAGCGGGTAAGGCAGGATGCCCCACAGCCCCCGGGGATGTGCCCGCGGGCACCCAGCCTGGCACGGCCCTGCAGCGATGTCCCTCTTGTCCCGGCAGCTCACCTACCTGCCGCAGCCGTGGGGGAACTGCCGGGCCAGCGTGCAGGGGGAGCAGACGCTGCCGGGCTACGACACCTACAGCATCGCCGCCTGCCGCCTGCAGTGCGAGAAGGAGGCCGTGGTGCGGAGCTGCCACTGCCGCATGGTCCACATGCCAGGTGAGGGATGCGTGTGACAGCCTGGGGACACCCCCCTGCCCTGACGATCCTGCCCAGGGCTGCCCCAGCCCAGCTACAGCCAGCACCTAAAGATCACTCCTGCCCCATCCTTCTGTACCCAAGGACCACCCCTGCCCCATCCCTCTGCACCCAAGGGTACCCCCCTGCCCATCCCTCTGCACCCAAGGGTACCTCCCACCCCATCCTTCTGTGCTTGAGAGTCCCCCTTGCCCCATCCTTCTGCATCCAAGGACCACACCTTGCCCCATCCCTCTGCCCCCAGCTCTCCCCCCTGCCCCATCCCTCTGCACCCAAGGGTACTCCCCTGCCCATCCCTCTGCATCCAAGTGTCCCCCTGCCCCATCCCTCTGCACCCAAGGACCACCCCATCCTCTCCTCACGCTGGGCCAGCCCCTGTCCTACCCTCCTTACACCCCAGATCAGCCCCTTCCCTGTCTGCTTTGTATCCAGGGGCCACCCCTGTCCCAGCCAACCTTCACCTGTGGGCCACCTGTCCCCCTCCTCACTCAGGGGACACCGCTGCCCCACTGCCTTTAGGGGACTGAGTCAAGGGAGGGGGACAGAAGTGGGCCAGACTCTCACCTCCCCCCCAACCAGCTGCTTCTCCGCAGGCAACGAGTCCATCTGCTCCCCCAACGTGTACATCGAGTGTGCTGACCACACGTTGGGTAGGTGCGGC